TTAATAATAATTGTTGGCCATATAAGAGATTGTCAAATCAACTAGCAGAAATTATATGTGTCCAGCTGGGATCACCACAGAAAACTTATAAAATCAGTTTAACCACCGAAAATATTTCTAAATTTTTTGATAATCTTACATGTCTGTTAAGATGGTACTGATGTTTTTGTCTAATAATATGAATGAGCACAAATGGTTTAATTTCATCTAAGGATGGCATAGATTGTATTTCTGATAGCTTGGAAAATATATATCAATGGATCAATGCGCTATGATTTTCTACTGAAATATATATGAATGGGTAGGAATTATGGCAAACAAAAATACATGTACAACAAATGTATATGAATGGGATGTTGGTTTAAACCCCAGCATGAGCCCCCCTTTTGATCTTAGGTTATTGATGGGATCATAGGTAGCAGTTAGAGTGAGGTTTAGGGTTAGGGTTGGTTTAATCTGAGACATATATACATGTGTCTCTGGTTAAATATAGCTCTTCAGTATGGGATTGGAATCATAAAATGATAAGATTATAAGAGGCCTCATACTAAAAGTTTTTTTTATTTAACAGAAATTTTAATGATTACCCTGTTTTCAAATGTAACAAAAAGTTGAGCAAAAAGGGTAGGCCTTCGTATGCATAAAATTTGGTTTGTGTATACCGTATCTGTTTATTTGCAGCTGATTCATTATTCAAGATGTTTGTGTTCTAACTTTGGTATCGTCTCTATTCCAGTTGTTGTATGCCTTACATCTTGAAAAATATTTAAACACTTCTGAACATTTTTTTGTTTTCCGCTTGCAGAAAGTTCTGTGGGAATTAGATAATCGCACAATAGACGTGATCTGGTTTCCCGCGTTGCTTCATGAAACTCGTGAATATTCATACTAACTTAGGCCCGTGATACGTAGAGTATACCGGCAGGGTTACGTTCCTCACAAAAAAAGAATACACAAAGTACAGATCTGAGAGTAACCGCAGTAACTGACAGCTAGTGCAAAGACAATAACAACTAATGAAACAAAAAATCATGTATCCAAGACTAGAATATCAATCAGTTCACATCCAAAATCAAATGGATTTAGTGTAAAGACGTCAACACATGCCACTCAGTTATAGCCTTGGACATGCACATATAAAATAATTATTATAGTTTTTCTTAAATCACATAACTTAACAGTCCCGGAAAAAAATGGCCTTGTGCAATGCCAAAATATCGGTATCGACGGATTGTAGTACCGTGAACGTGCATATGTGTATAACAATAATATTTAGTTTGGTTTTAATTTACTGATAACAAAATCATTATTTATACCAATAAAAACAAAATTCAAAGATCTATTTACAGCGTTGAATTGGCAACCTTTTAGAACAAGTTTATCCTAAGGTTCGATAAGTTTACCCGGATCGTATCTAAATTTTCGGGCTCGGTAAAAAACAAATGGACTATATCCCGTTTAAAATAAGTTTTCTGCAGGTACAGCCGAAATTACAAACCTAATATTTGTATCAATGGAAGAATTTGGTAAAGGTTTTACGTAATTTGTGGTAACGAATTCCCTGACAAAATAATTTACAATACCTAGATTACGTTCATTGAAATCCAAAAACGTCACTACAATCACTGGCATAATGGACGAGTTGGGATATATAAACATTGCAAGACGGTGCACCTCCTTCTGCCATTTTAGTTTTTATTCAATGTTTGATAATATTTCTTTAATATCAAAATACGGAGACACATTATGATTGCCAATGAGACAACAATCCACAAATGTTCAAATGCAGTGGATATAAGAAATTATAGGCAACTGTATGGCTTTCAACAATGAGAAAAACCAAGTATTCAGTATCAGCTATACAAGGCCCCGTCATGACAAATATTAAACAATTCAATATAGCGTACTGTACAACACGAGTTTTATTCATTATTGAAAGCTGTACGGTGACCTGTTGTTTTAACAGTGTTGTCTTCCTTTTTTGGTGGATAGTTGTATCGGACAATCATACAACATCTCCTTTTTTATATTAATTTGAGATGAAATCTTTAACACTAAAGGAACGAATTTGACAGATTTTGAAGAAAAACACGTGGCTCAAACTAAAAAAAATAAGATTAAGATGGTACAGGTTATTCTCACTTAAAAAGATATGTACTCATATAAGTATAAACCGTTTTTGCGTTTAATTTCAAATGCATTTTGTATGCACTTTTGAAATTTTGTATGCACTTTTGAAATTTTGTTTGCACTTTTGAAAATTAAATTATCCCAACCTTAGAAAATTGTGGAATACAGGCTTGATGTCACAAACATACTACCGCTGTAGAACGTGCCAATTCCGGTGTCATATAATTGCTTTCATTACACTGTTTCGAAACATATACGGTTTCTATATAATTTTGCTTGCAATACTGGAGATAATTTGCTACTTCCGGTTTACAAAATGTCACTTACTGTTCATATGAAGGTTGATTTACACTGATTTTGAAACTATATGAATTAAAGGTACTTTTACAACTAATTAGTGCAAAAGTACTACTTCCGGATTACCAAACTTTCTTCCGGTTGACCTTCCAAGGTCAAATGTTGTCCAGCCTTATGCAAAATACATTATGACTTTATCATGTTCAATGATGAAGTAATAGCAAAAGTAAAAATCTATAGCGTCAAATTTAACTTTGACCTTGGCCTCTATTTCAAAGTCAAAGGTTATGGATCTCATATAAAAGACCCCAGGTCCATAATATGTATGGTTAAGAAGTTATCCTACCAAACAGCTTATTTTTAATATTTTAGGGGAAAACACTCCTATATAATGTCACGATGAGCACTTCGACCCTAATGTATTGCCATAGCGTCATGTCGCAGCTTACAATTTGCCAAAAGCCGTATATCGATAATTTTTACGGTTTCTGGGTAGTTGCGTTACGATAACAAGCAAAGTTCAAATTTTAGAAAATGACCTTGGCCACAATTTCCTTCTATTTGAAAAAGGATCTCATATAGTAACATCAAAAGCCTCTAGGTCTGTTTGATTTACGGTTTATAAGTTACTCCAACTTACCACTAATGTCAAACACACAAAAGGAAATAACTGTTATTACATATAACCAGACTGCTCCGGTACAAATTTAACAGATCATCCTGAGGAAGTTACGAACATTTTGGAAAAGAACTTAAGCGAGGAGAAGCGATAACAATAAATACAGTAGACGGGGAGATAATTTCCCATATTGAAAATTGTTCGGTTAAAAGGGCGAGTATAAATAGCGCAATTAATGTTCGATATCATATTCCAAATATCTAATCGATATGTTGCGAAACAAAAACGACATTAAGAAACAAACAAAAAAGTGGCGGAAAATAAATAATCAGAACAAAATCAAAAGGTGTTTCTTCGGAAGTTGGAAAGACCTAACGAAGAGACTATATTTATAAATATCTTTAAATGCGCAACGCTTGCAGTAAAATTGGTATCGTTAATTTTATCTATTACAGTGTTCTTACTTTCTAGTATTAACAAATAATATCCACAAAATCACAGAATAAAAACTACTAACTATGATTTGTGTTTTCCTTTTCAATGTCTTTTTTCTCTTTTGAAACTCTTTTGAAAAGCATTACTGACATTAGCAGAGCTGGCAATAGCTGGAGAAACTATTAATTAGGAAAACACAATTTTTCAATTTTTCAATTGATGAAATGTTTCCCGAACGAAAACCAGATGTAACGGAAGGCATTATTGGCGTACAGTAAGCTGTCTACGAAACAGATAAACCATTTGGCGCACATTATTTGTGATTTAATTACCAGGCATGTACTGGTAAATCGAAGATTTTCCGTTTACGAAAATTATTTCCCGTAGTTTAAAAAAATGTTTTGAAGCCACCAAAATCAATTCAGATAATTTCAGAGGCGGATTTAGGGGGGACCGGCCCACCTCATGGAGCTACATATATGATTAATGCATATATTTATATTATATATATATATATTAGCACTGTTAAGATCTGTAAAACCCCTACTTGCTGTTTGCCGATACTTTAAAATTTTCAATATGTTGATGGAAATTAATATTTTCGTCGACAATTTCTCCATTACTACTAAACGTAATGAATTCCTTTGTGGTCAGCAGCCTGTCAGTGGTGTGTAGTAACGTGTAAGCGCCTTTCCGGATTTGTCAGACAACTTCTTCTAATGTCGGATACTTTAATTTACGAGTTGGGGTATGCTTAGTTCGACAACACGTACATTCTTGTTTTACCTAATTTCAGTTCGTGTTTTCCTGTCTTTTTACAGGCTCCACGCAGAGTAGCCAGTAAAACTGCATTTGCGACCGACAAAATCCCAATCGACGGTGGCAACTTTTCAAGCACATTACTGTTATTCATTGAATGGCATACTTTACGGAAAAAAGGAATAATAAATAGAAGATACATACCATTCTGCGTTAAGAACGAAAACATTGTACGAACGAGACAAACAAATAATAACACAACAGGTGTACAGACAAACAACAACAAAAAGGCGGAAGATACCAAGGGACATTCAAAACTCACAAGTTTAGAAAACCCGATAACGCCATGGCAAAACAATACTTAGAAAGTCGTATACGAAATCCTAAAAACTTAAGCTTTCAGGACCTAAAACTTCGCAAAAAAAATATTCAAGTGATATCAAATCATAAAGATTTTTATTTAAAAGAAAAGAGCAAATGTCCAAATATGTTACTCCAAGGTACCCCATTTTTCAATTAAAAAATTCAACAAAACAACAATAAAGAAAAACAACAAACAAAAAAAAACTTAAGCTAAGAAAAAAAAATCAGAACACAATATTTCCAACGATAATGCTGAAGTCTTTTGTACAATTTTACATGTAGGTATTCTAACCATTGTTATCTTTTCCATTAGAACATAAGCTTTACATATTTTTAATGTTATTAATAAAATCAGACATAACATTTAATTTATTTTTTTTTCTTCATTTTTTCAAGCATGGATGAATTCAAAGAAAAAAATATGTGTTTACAGTTTTACAATTATCTTTGCGAAAAAATTGGCACAGAAGAGTTATTTCGACTTCGCCAGAAATATTATCTGCTCTTTGATTTTTTACTAATAGGCAGACATGAAATTGTTTTAAATAGTGGCAGTAAATCAGAGGGATTAGAACTCGAAGGAAGTGACATAGATGTAATGTTTCTGAGTCGGGATATCACAGTTTTTGAAAACGAGGCTCATTGCAGAAAGAAAAGGCCCAACGTTTTTATAATGAACACACAAGACATCAAACCAGGATTTACTATTCTAAAATTGAGCAAATCGTCATTCATACCTAATGGTAGTAATACATTTCGTTATTCGGATATATGGGAGAAAGACATTGTATTGTCGAACGTGAAAGTAAAGCAATTTTTAAAATCAGAAAATAAAGCATTTGATTTTGTACATGGACCATGTATTACTAATAAGGACTACACACGTGATTATGTATTTTGCTTTAGATGTCCAACTTGGATTGGACAAGCTCGAAAATTAAGAGGAAAAAGCCGGTTATGGCCATGTCCTAGCGTTGTTGACAATATAGAAAGGTGTGGGACATTGTTTGTTCCTATTGGTAGCAAAACATCTGTAACGGAAGAGTTTGAATGGCGGATTTCCTTTTCTGTTGCTGAAAAGCTGCTTATATATTCTTTCAGTCACACGCAAATGCTCTGTTATGCGTTGTTAAAAATCATGTTAAAAGAAATAATTGAAACATATACTAATTCAAAGGGAATATTATGTTCCTATTTCTTAAAAACTGTTGTCTTTTGGGTTTCAGAAGAATACAGTGGTGACAAATGGCAACCTCATATGATTATCCCATGTTTTATGGCGTGCCTAGCGAGACTTGTATATTGTGTCGATCATTCTTATCTTCCTCATTATTTTATACCAGAAATAAATTTATTAGACGATAAATTATTTTCCAATAAAGCAACTGAGCTCAGGCACTTGTTAAACGAGTTTTATGGAATAGGGCCACAGTTTTTTACGTATTCAAAAACACTTTCTAACCGTGTAGAGCGTCATCTTTCTTCGTTTAATATTATAAACAACTTTAATACGTTATACCATCTTAATAAAAAGTATGGTATTGAAATGAGAAGCATATGTTATTGTGAACGCTGTTCTAATAATACGTTCAGTAAGATTTTAAAACTCTCAACCAAAAGGCATAATCCATTGAATTTAAATGTTTATATTTTTCGAATATGTCAGATAGCTGGAAATTCGAACGAAATTACAGGAATAGATTTATCCTTGAACAAGGTATTTTACAAAATCCACAAACAACGTTTCCCATGTATAATACTTGGTTTGAATACAGATGCTGCCTCTGGATGGCTATATCTTGCCACGTACCTATTCACTCTCCAGCACTTCTCTGTATCTCTGAGCATTGTCGATTATGCCTTATCTAAGTGTACTCCCGACAAACTGTACTGCTTTAATGATCATCTACATTATGAACAACTAGATTACACAGGGCAGCAATCGTTGAAATATGGATGTCTTGATATTAGTTCTATTTATAGAAGACACGTTATTGCACCTATTAAGTTCACGGAAGATTCGATTCTTCCATTTGATATAATAGACGAATTAAAAAACAGACATGTCTTTACAAATTCTAATTTACCACCTGTTGTGTACGCACATTATTTACGATTTTTGTGTTTTCTCAGACTATATGACGGTGAAAATTGTCGAAAATCTCTGCAAGATATACAACTGACAATTGAAAATGAATACTTTGTATGTGGATATCAAAAAGTGGGCTCATACAAATTGTTAGCAATACGGCCAAGAAATATTTGGCTGTCGCAGATCGTCATATTTCAAAGTCTTAAGAAATGCATGAATATTATTATACTAACTAATCACATAATATCATACTTTTATTGTATAAAGTGCACATGTGTCCGACGTCAATAATTGTCATTTAGGGAATGTCGTATTAGTGGCAGATCTTTGAATGTCTGTTTAAATATGTTCACATTTTTGGAAGACGCGGAAAGGAGTGAATTTAGAGGTGGAGATATTGTATAGCTACTTCACATGGTTATTGTTGAACTGTTCTATAAAACAAAGTTAAGGAGATGTGGGAGGATTTCCAATGAGATAGTTGAGCTTTAAAAGGCCCCGACATGACTAAATGTGAAACAATTCAAACAAACAAAAACAACGGGCTGATTTATAGCAAAACAATTAACGCAAAAAAACAAATTGGACAGGCATGAATTAACGACAATAACTGAATTACAGGCTTCTGAATTGGGACAGGTACATGAAGTATGTGTCGGGGTTTAACATGCGTTGGGCTGCAGTCTCATTGACGTGTACCCCATACCTTTTATTCTGTTGTTACGATAACATCATAATTGGCATGTATCCCATTTTGAAATAATGTTCCATATTCCATGCTAGCAAACGCGTATTTAGATACACGTAGTGGTGTAGTGGATAAGACCATTTGAATTCATACTAAAACAAAGTTTTTTTTAATGTTTCATGTGCATTTCTGGATGAACATACATAAGAGTACTCGAAGATCGGAACCTCAGAGTTCGAAACCTTGTGTTTACTGTCTTTTGTTAGATTTGTTTTTGCTTGGTGCAGATGAATCAATCTTTCAACTGATTTTAATAGTTTTTTTCTTATCTTGTGTTGTTACACCACTGTCTCGGGATAGCGTAGGGTTGAGCGCTCACAAACAATTTTCAATCCCACAACATTCTTTATGTGCCTGTCCTATATACGGAGCCTTGTAAATCATTTAGTGTTGTTGGTTAATGTCTTTTATAAAAAAAAACAATTTGTTGATTTATAGCATAACTCAATTAATTTTTTTTCTCTTTTGACTAGTTTTTCATTTTTTCATGCCGGACCTTTTATAACTTACTATACGGTATGGGTTTTGCTTATTGTTCAAGACGACACGGTTTACTCATTGGCAATCATGCTTAATCTCCTTATTTTGTATATATACATTACGAGTTATAGAACAGAAACTAGCATAAGAAAAATATAAAAAAACGTCCATGCCTAAAAAGTAATTTTTGTTTTGAGAGAATTGCAATAATCTTAATAAATCGTAACTAACATCTAAACATTTACGGTTGGATATATAAATCTATAATTCTGAATTAACCTTCATCCGGAACGTTTATACATCATAGGTTTGGAGCAGGTCAGATTGGCCCTTGATAATAAAAGAATATCTTTTTTAATATTTAAAATGTAGATATGAGCGACAGCCTTATACCTTAAAACTAGTTTGCTATGAGATGTCCTATACAAAGATCGTAATGTCGTTAAATGTGTATCTCTTTGTGTAGGGATGTTGCTCATATTCATTTTACCATAGACTATGTAAAACTGTCATGTGAATATCGACATGTTTATGACGTCATAATGACGGCAACTCTGACAGGTTTATACTAAAGTGTACAGAGTAAATAATTAAAGGCTACAGTAGTATACCGCTGTTCAAAAGTCATAAATGGATTGAGAGAAAACAAATCCGGGTTACAATCTAAAGCCAAGAGAAACACATCAACTAGAAGAGGAAAACAACGGAACAACAGAAACACGAAAGTGCAACAAAAACAAACGCTAACATAATTAGAAATGGACTATTTGATATATAGCTATATCATCTAATAAATTCATCAATGACGTTAAATTAATTAAGAAAGGATTAAAATTTTGTCAATTTAAGGGGCGGAATATAGCTCTTATCATAAACATCATCCTTTATCAGCAGCAAAAGTAGTAAGATGTGTGTAATAGATTACGGCTCATAAGTCAAGCAATTTATTGTAGGATAAAGTAAGTATATAGCAAACTGTTGTTCTATATAAAACAAAAATGAATAATCTAAATATCAAAAACAACTAATTCACTTTTTTTAAATGCAAATTTATACTGTGCATCGCCTACTATTTATATTGTCTATATTACTCTATACCTACAGTACTAAAAGTTATTATTTGCGTCACAACATATCAAATCACAAAGATATAGACGTATGCACTAATTGGAAAGAACGATAGAGCCATCCTACAAACAATCCCAACAACACCACATCCAAGCATTCACCAACCAACACCCACTAATAACATCAAAACACCCTTCACATGGCATGCACGACTTGTGGAAATTTTCGAAGATCGTACATTCTAGTTTTTGTTTGGCAAATTTGTATGCGGCAACAATTTAAATAACTATTTTAAGTAAACAACAATAATATAAACCTTCTGTAGGAGAAAATTTGCAAAATTAATATAAGTTCATTAAAATGTTTAAGTAATGCGTATACAGTGTTTTTGCATTTGCATTTATTTTTGCTGAGGCTGTGGATTGCAGATTAAATAAAAATGATTACAAATGTGTCACAAAATATCAAATATAAAATATATAAAGTTGATTGCTTGCTGTATATTATTTTCTAGGTGAAATAAGAAGACCGGTACAACCTTTCTCAAACATCCACACCCACACCCACTCTGTCATCAAAATCCACATTCACACCAACTTGGTCACCAACCCACATCTAAATCCACACACAACCAATATGAAATGCAAAGTGTCGGGAAATATCTGAAGATAGCACATTCTAACCTACTTTTTAGTAATTTTTGTCGAATAGAAAAAATAGTCAAAAATGAAAGACGAGCAAAATAAGAAAATCTCACCGTTTTGCTTCAAGATGGTATGTGACAACAATTCAAACTCAAATTGATTGTGTGGCTCTACAAAGAGCCGTTTTGCATATTGAAGTATCCGTACTCTCTGATCTTCTGTCTGCGTTTACTCACTGTAACTTCTTGTTCAGCACTACAAACATCTGATTCTTTCGCCTCCAATTCTAAGGAGTATTGATGGATTTTTAATATTCACTGTTTTTTTGGACATCAGAGGTTTATTAAATTGACTACACATTTGGTGTACTGAGTGGGTTCTGTTATATCTGGTTTATATCCTTTAATTTGACTAAGAACTGATTTTCCCCCTTTTTGTCAATGAATGGTTATGACATTGTGACTTTTGAACTCAACTGAAAATTGACTTCAGTAGCTTTACACGCTTTATCATAGAATCATGCTCTTACTATACTGTGATATAAACTGTACACCTATTCCGACTACCTATATCCCATCCTATTACCGGCTATTGGTACGACAGATGGAATCGGTAACACAGATCCGACGAATGTTTTTCTGGATGACAGGTAGATACATCTATTCGCATGTTCTCTTGTTTACAAAATGACAGGTATATAAAGATATTCGCATTTACTTTTATTTACAGTGATTTTTGTGGTGATATTGTATGTTTTTTCTTAGTGATAATACAACAGGCCATATGTTTTTTCAGATATGAGGTTAGGGCATTACGTATTAACAAATATATCAATAAATCAAGTTGAGAATTCACTCGTTTTCAAGAAAGATTCGTCAAAGATTGCAAATTTCTTGAAAACTACAATTAAATCGTCACATTTATGGTTTCATTAAATGACTGTAGACCCCGTACGACATTCTTACCAAAGAAAAACAATTTCTGTTGTTAAAATTACTGTTATATACACGATTGAATTTGGTCAATCAACATGATTTGGCTATCGTGTACAGCAGATCCGACAAACACTGACGTCAGATATTTGCAATCGTGAACCATATAGTCATACATGTACTTTATAACTAATTGTGTTGTTTTGAAATCAAGAAATCTCCTAAAGATCGCAAATCTTTCGAATCATGTTTGTTAATAATTAATTTCCCCATGCTTAATCAGCATTCCTAACTATTATGAATATTCAAAAAAGTGTTTATTGCTGCTAGACACTAGTCCTACTTCAAAATCTCGTTTTCGGAATAAATAAGTGGTAATGGTAAAGCAGTCACTCAGGCCATTAACACGATTATGGTTTATTTCTTCTCCATTAGCTGGCACAGATTTTGTGCGTTTTGTGTGTTGTTCATCGTCGTGGTTTTAGTTGTGATACAGAAAGTTCGTAGTAATCATCTTTACGATGTTGACTACTGTCTAGGAAAAGTGTTTTATGCTTTAAAGGAATATGTGATGTCTGTCATTGTCTATTTCTTCACCGTTGTTAGAGTTTCTGAATTCTATGGAGGATACCTAGGCCGATATGTCATTAAAAATAATCAACCATTGTTTCCACGAGAATATAATTTTATTGGTCGTCTTTGTAGTATATGTATATTAGGTTGTCTAAATTTACCGGTTTCGTTTGCATGATTGTGTTCTTACTGCTGCATTTGTATTCCTGTAGACGCTAGATTTTGTGTGCATTTTATTCTTATTATTTCATCCTAACACCTGTCTTAAGAGTAAAAACTCTAACGTTTACCAATGTACTTTAAATTTATCCATTTCAATGGTATTCCTATATTACATAAAAAAGATGTGCTGCCTTACAATCAAAACTGACTTAACTTTAATGTTTACAATAAAACAGAACAAACATATTATTGAAAAGGAAAGGAAAATTAAAATTCATTGTAAATTTAAAAAAAATGGAGCTATGACGTTTGTATTTGATGAGTTAGCTCAGATATTCTCTCAAACTCTTGGAGAGCATTTGAAGATATACATGAACGAATAGTTGTTTGCCTAATTTATTCACGCGCATTTACTATCTTTCATCGATGATTGCAAAATGTAACAGTATTTTGAGTTTATATAACATGTTTCAGACGTAATAAGATAGACATCAAGCGTACGATCTAAAGTAAATACCGACATAGCAGACCAAAGCCAATTGACTAATCAAACCTCAATGCGTTGACCTTAATAGACCAATTGATAAGAGAATAACTAGCGTGAATAATGATTAGACGTATACAAATAAATTATAAATAATCCTTGACCGCAGATAATTGATAGCTATTGATGACCCCTCTTATAAGAACGATTACAGACACAATACCATAATTACAAAAGTAGTTATTGTTGATATAAAGCCTTTAAACGTCCAGCAGGACGTATCTCAAGATACCCAGTCTGATATTGTTGAAGTACTGAAAAAATATAAAACATGATACAATAATTATTTTATTATGCAAATATTTGGGCTTAAGGGCAACACGTTATGTTACAGAAAACTTCCTTGGCGTCATTGAATGAAAAGCGATGAATGTAAACTAACTGACGCCTACATTATAATTAACTATCCGAGCATTGTGCACGGCACACTGTGTGAATGCTTGAGGATATGTTTTTTTTTTCTCTAGTATCAGGTAATTCACTCAGTTCTGTCATATTGTAAATCAAGAACAAAACACATTATATGCTACCTGCAGTTGACACAAAACACACAGTATGTACATAAAATGATAGTGTGTTCTCAGAGAATTATGGATAATTTGCCGTTAAAATACAGTGCCTGAGCTAGCCTCATATCTTTGACAGAAATGCCTCACCATAGGGATATTTGCATACACGTGTGTGTACGACTACCAGTCTAATTGTCTGAGAGTACTTTAGCAAGCCGTTCCCGAGCGGTATAGCCTTACTTGATTTTAAACGTGGTACCGCATAAGAGTAAATCTTTGTGGGCATAGACCGACGTGAAATAGAGCTGTTGAGCAATCAAGATGAGACTATTCCTCGTTAAGGTACATAGGCACCCTAACTACTCAGAAAATTTTTGGGAACGATATTATATTTGGCCAAAATAAAATATCATAGCCCAAAACGAAATATGTAACGTTATGTTGCCTGCCCAAGTTGCATATTGAGTAAACCCAAAATTTGAAGATGTTGTGCCTGATGCAGCCTTGTGTCTTGTTAAAATTAGGGTGGATCTAGAGAAAAATTAATGTCAGTATAAAAAACCTTAACCACAAGGCTAGGATGGAGGACATGTTACAAAGTTATAACCGATTGTAAAAAACGTTTGACTGAATTGTTATCTGTGTTATCTAATCTTTTCACGTGCGGATTTAATATCCAATTTAGATGTTCTAATGAAGCGTTTAAAATAATCTGATTTCCAACGTCCCAGTGTTTGTATCATGCTGTCCTCAATACCTTGGGAACTAGCACTAGTGGCCGCACCTGATCGAAAGGAATGTCCGCTATAATCCTTTTCACTATTTCCTAGTGCCATGATTATTGTTTAAGCTTGCTTATATAATAGTTCCGGGAAAGTGGTTTTCCAATTTCTTCAACGAAAAACGAATCATTACGCTTTGCGTTTATAGGTTTCTTCTTACATTCAGCAGCTGGAATAGCAATTTATACAAAAAAGCGATGATATCAATCTTGAACAATGAAATTATAATGCTGATAGCCGCCTCTTATTGAAATGAAAATCCGCTAAAATCGTTTCGTCTAATTGTGTGACTGGACAAAATATCTCTTTGCAGTCTAAATGGACTTCGGTCGGACAATAAATACTATTCTTGTAGTTGATACAATGTATTTGAAAAATTTACGTCGGTAAAATAGTAAGATATCAATATGTCAAATGTAAATATAAACAGTGATGAAGATAATTATCAGCAAAAGTTCTAAATTGCAGTTTTGCACGCGATCGTATGTATTTAGGCCTCTTTAATAACTTCAGTTGATGTCAGTTCTTCACATAAATACGCTATAACTTTCCAATTGGTTGAATAAACAACAGACAAAGAGCTAGCTTCTCCTCCATATTCCAAATATGAAACAAAGAAAAGAAGAAAAAAACGAATGTAACTGTGTGCACAATATCTGGTATCATTTAACCTACTAAACCTTACTATGTAATAATCAATCAAATTAGAATAAAATAAATAATGAAAAACAAACAAAACAAAACAAATATAAACACTTTGAGCACTACTAGTAAGTAGTAAAATAATAGTTTCAATCAATTCAACCATTACATACACATGTATCGTGACATCTATAATAATTTATGTATTAAGGGTCGTCTGAACTTGTCGTGAGTTAGATGTTTGCCCTATGTTGAAGTGTCAGTGTGACTTTGAGATAAAGAACGGCAATAAAAGCATATTGTGATATTGTGTAATGAATTGATATATACCACATCCTTTCTAACTTGCTCATAATATGTAATCGTTATCGGGGACAAATGTATATGTATTAGGATAAAACGTTAAGTTTCATTACTTGTCTATCATTCATTGTGTCATGGAACCTCAATTTCGTTA